CCCCCATTCTCCATCCCTTCTGGAGTCCCAAGGAGAAACCAAGCTGACACAGGAGGAACGAGCTAGGAGGAGAGCTGGACCGGGATGCTAAGTGAAGATGGATGGTGGGATCGTTTCAACTCTAAGCCCCGGGAAGGGGTGGGAGGCTCTGGATTTGGGCATGCAAGACTCAGTGCAGAAACTGAACACGGAAAGCAAACTTAGGGATGATACAGAACTCAGAGCAACTTTTCCCGCCCTTGACTAATACAAACGACTCAAAGTCACAGCCGTGGGCGGCCGGGACGCAGGTTGTCTGCGGTAGGGATGCGCATCGCCTTCTGGCTGGGTCCAGAGCATTCCACGTGGTCCAGCCCAATGCGCCGGGAAATCCTGTGGCAGGGAGCTGGCGGACCCTGGCGGTCGAGCCGAGAGTTGCAGAATCGAGGCTTGGGATCCCACACCCCTCCTCCCCCTTGGGAGAAACGGAGTTAGGGTTCTACTTGGCTTCGAGTCTCAGACATTTCGTTTGGATTCAGAGACACGTGTCCTGGCACTTTATTTTAAAAAATGGCATGGAATTCCATTTTGTTTTAGATGCACGAGGGTTTTGTGTCCCCGGTGCCTGTGGAGGCCCTCTGGAACAGGGGTTGGAGACGGGTGTGAGCCACCCTGAGGATGGTGGGAATCGAGTCCTCTGGAAGAGAGAGCAGTCGGTGCTCTTAACCTCTGAGCCATCGCTCCAGTCCCTGGTTCTCTTATGCATCCTTGGCTGATCTGGAACTCACCGCTGTGAGACCAGACTGACCTTGCACACTCTCACAGAGATCCACCTGCCTCTGCCTCTCGAGTGATGGGATTGAAGACGTGCGCCAATACGTCAGGGTTGGGGAATTTGTTTTTGTTTTTGTTTTCAGGGTCTTGCTTTGCCGCGCAAGCTAGTTTGGAACTCGCATTAGTCCTCCTGCCTCAGCTTCCTCAGTGCTAGGTTTAAAAGCATGCTAGTGGTCGCCACCACACTCTGCCGTTTTCCTGTGTCCTTTTACCCTCAGCAAACGATTCCAGGTAGAGAAATCAAGCAGTATACTAGGGACTCGCCTTGCAAAAGCTGGGCTGCTGTGGCTTCACACAACACGCAGTTCAGGCGCGCCCTCTGGAGGCCAAGATTCCGAAGCGCACCTTTATTAGGTGGTCGCTCAATTGTTTTTCTTTCCTGTGTTAGTAGGGTCAACTACTACTTACTACTTTCTTTTCTTCCCTCCGTCCCTCCGTCCCTCCGTCCCTCCGTCCCTCCGTCCCTCCCTCCCTCCGTCCCTCCGTCCCTCCCTCCCTTTCTCTTTCTTTCTTTTTTGGTTTTTTGAGACAGGGTTTCTCTGTGTAGCTTTGGAGCCTATCCTGGCACTCGCTCTGGAGACCAGGCTGGCCTCGAACTCACAGAGATCCACCTGTCTCTGCCTCCCGAGTGCTGGAATTAAAGGCGAGCGCCACCATGCCCAGTTATTAACTGTTAATATTTTCTTCTGTGTATCATAATTCCAACTGTTTTGGGGTGTGACACAGT